CAATAATAACCACGACCGTACGGAATTATATTTTATAAATACCGTATTACGACAATTTACTGCATAAAGTAGTATATTACACTCTCTACGAAGCCGGTCTGGAATTTTTTAATTTTATTTTTTCGTCCAACACGCATCGTCGTACACCATCACACACGACAATACAGTCCCTACTCTTGTTTGATTCTTTTAAAATTAAAATATATTCACACCTGCAGTAGGTATATTTTATGCGACGAGGCCGACGACGGTTCGCCGTTCGCGCGTGTGATTTTTAGGCGAGTTGCACCTATACCCACCGAGGTTTTACCGTTTTTCTTCTTCTCTACTTAGACGTCTGATCGTATTTCGTCCCACGTGCTACGTGCGGCAGTGCCGCCCGTTGACAGCTATCATTATATTGTCGTCAATTGAATCGTAAACTATAATATACTATACATTATACTACGCATTATAACTTCATGTGTGTGTGTGTGTGTGTGTGTGTGTGTGTGTGTGTGTGTGTGTGTGTGTGTGTGTGTGTATTTAGCGACTTACACGGCAGGATATTACTTTCTTCAGCATCCATAACACAATTACGGTGGTTATAATATATCATTCACGTGCCGAAACAGAATAGAAAATCGAAATCCGAAACCAGTTATTTTTTATATACATATTAGATACATCTTCGGCTTGTGTGTGTGTGTGTGTGTGTGTGTGTGTGTGTGTGTGCGAGTGTGTGTGCTTGTGTGTGCTTGTGTAGACACGTATCGCATTCCGACCCACTGACACACTTCGAGGCGACTCTCTGCGGCAATGAAACGAAGGAAAAAAAAAAAAGGTCTGTGACTCCACCCGGGGCGGTACCGGCGGAAACGGCTCCAAAGCAGCTCCGTCGCGTCTATCGCGGCATCGCGCTCGCGCGAGTATAGGCAGGTATCATGATAATGTAGAAACGATTCGCTTTTTTCCACACGCTGACTCATGTGCACCGCCGCCGCCGCCGCCTTCGGAAAAAAAAAGTGAAATCCACCGAGCACCGCTGGAACGCCAAAAACCCTTGGGGCTTTTCGGGGCCATAAAAATTCCCGCATAACATTAACGGTGCCCGCGTATACAATAATATAATAATATATTATAATAATAATAATAACGACGACGGACTGCAGCCTGGACCGAACGATTTTCCGTTTGTAGGCCGGATAACAACAATAATAATAATAATAATAATAATATATTATAATCGGTCGTGGAATATTCGGCGCCGACGAGTTTTATCGATCTGATGTGCATCAGGCCACGGCGGCGATGGCCGGCGGTGGTGATGGTCGACGGCTGCAAGTTTATGCCGCCGCGCCGTTGGTTCCAAGTTTATTGAAACAACACATACCACCTATACGACCATAGCCATACATGTTATTATCTCGTCGTTATTGTGCTATTCGCCGATACTGCAGACACGTAAAAAAAACATCATTATCATTCAAAAGCCAGATTTACTATACACATATCATAATATGTATATAATAATATGGTCGCTATTCGTTTAAACTATATTTTGGATTAAAAACTCATTTGATCCTCTGATATTATAGAAAAATTAAGAACGGATGACGAAAAAGTGTACGCACTAGGTACGAAAAATGTACACTGTTAATTCGATTATAACGAGCGCATTATAAATCTGCGGTGTAATTTCACTGCATTAATTACGTCTAAATCACAACTAGCGTGTCTGCTGCATACCAGTGGTGACGCACACACGGGGGGGAGGGGGGGTTAAGGGGTCACGAAATGTCTTCCTTCATTAAAATATATTTCTACAAAATACACCTCTCCACTATATATCATCTTTATATGTATAATGTATATGTAATTTTGTGATTATTATAACTAACACAGCCCTCTCATAGAACAATTTTTTGTGCGCTAGGTACTGCTGAAGTATGATATAGCCGACACGGCACCGCTAAAAAATAACCCCATTTGAGATTTTGCAAGATTTTGCAAATTAATCTAAATATCAATATTATGTATCGAGTATAATAACATTTATAACATACATAATACATAATATGTACAATTTTTATGTCCTCACAGATAATGTTAAATTTGGATTAAATGATAAATTGTTGTATTTCTACGATAAAAACGATTCGGAGTACGATTATGCCACGGTCTGTCATATCGATCAGATATATAATTACTACAGATATATTATAATGGATAAGAAAGGTACAAAAAACTTTATCTTTAATGTTCTGATATTGTTGTATAGAAGTGGTAGTTTGTAAGATTTGTCAAGTTCTGTGTGAATGTGTGTGTGTAATGTGAGTTCATTTCATTGTATTCGGTACTACTACAGAGATGTACCACAGTATGCTTCGTAAAAACATTTCGTTTTGTATTCATTTTAATTTCTGTTTGAATAGTTATGGATAGTCTAGATATTTTTGAGAGCCAAAAGGGCAAAGAAAAATTAGCATTTTAAGGTTATATACACTTATATGTATCTGGTACTCAGAGATTGTTTGAATTTTATAAGGCGGAAATTCTGCAAAAAAATAGCCCAAAATGTCCATGGAATTAAAATAATTTCGTGGATAAAAAAAACCTTTTATTAAAATTGATCATGAACATAATCATCTTCCGTGTCAAAATTAAATTGATGCCTCAAAAATTAAAATGCAAATTAAAAACTACCTAAGCTAAAGTATCAAAATGTACGCCTGCACAGTTATTTTCAGAAGCTGTAACGGTTCTTTCAGAAAGTATTCTTGAAGAACTTCCCAAAGAAAATCAATAGTAAAAAGCATTCAAAATCAAAGAACTCAGAGTTTCCCAAGAGTACCTGATAATCTAAAAGATTTGAAAATAGAATTCACTTTTAATTAAATTTAAAAGTAAGAAAATAGCGAGAATTTTTACGCAAAAGTAATTTTTAAACATTATGTGAACGGTTAAATACTAATCAAATGACCCATTAAAAAAAAAAAAAATGTTCTTCAATTTAAGAAAACGATTATAAAATAGGTATTAATAGGTATTCTATATAATTTTTTTTCCGTTTTTTAATTGACATTTAATATAAATACATTCAATTTTTTTACATAATGGTATTATTGACATTTCAAAACAAACACGTTTATTGTGATTTTTTTTTTAATTTCAAACAAATTTACAGTGATTGAATAAATTCACTATTTTTTTTTATATTTATAAATTATTGACATAGTATTATACATTTATAATGAGGTAGATTTAGAGGTGGTTGGAATTTCAGGGATTAAGTTTCCGGGGTTATTTATTAGGCAAATCGTTATCTGTATTTACCCATTATTAATAATTGTGCGTCTAGTATTGATTTGTAATATTAGGGTACTTTGTAAAAATATGTATACTGCCTTTAAATATTATTTTATGTAAAATAATTAGTAACTTTAAACCTCAATAGGTCATGATTACCTAAGCTCTAAGTTCACCTTCAGATTAAAAATTATGCCCAAATAGTCCAAAAATAAAATTGTGAAGTCTTAAATAAATATTATACATACTTGTGGCTGCAACTATTATTATATATTATGTATAAACATTGTACAGGATCATTCATAAAGTATGCTAACATCATTATTTGCTTCAATTCTGTTTTTATTTAAATTATGATTTGAAATATTTTAGTTTTTTATATTTTTAATTATTTAGATTTGTCTTGTTATTTAAGGGGTACCTACCTATATGTGAGGAATAAGACTTATTTTCAAATGACGATCACTCTTTTCATAGTACATTTATTAGTAGAATTTTTTTTATTGTTGATTTAAATATTACATTATCTAAATAATTTAAATCTATTCACTTTTTAAAATTTGTAAAAATTTTCTGAGCTTAATAAATATTAAAATCAACATAACAACTTACTATTTTATGTTTTACGTAAATAATTGTAAAAGTATAATTATCCATTATAAGGACTTTAATTTTAAATTTCTACTAACTTTATAAACAATTCAAAGTAATTAAAAATGTTGTCCTTAAGTATAGATATTTAAAAAATCCAAATTTAAATAAATGCTATATTAAAGGAAAAAAATAGTCAATAGGGTGAGCTTGCTTTGTGAATTACCTTGTACTTACATATATATATATATATAGATATAAGTAATTATAATAAACACAGTTATGTAAATAATATTGTAATACAAAAATACAACAGGATACGATAAGACTATGTAATAGTGTGTGAATACGTTTTGTTTCACCTCACTCACCTCAATGCCACACGATGGAGAAGTGGTGTATTATTATTTTAAATTTAAAAGCAATAATAAATCATCGCATTCCGAAAAATAATCTACAGAGCGGAACCTTGTGAAAGATATAATGTTTTGTTTTAAAATTTAAGGTACTAAAATAATAATTATATAAGTAGGTATGATATAATGTATTGCTGTAATCTGTAGACTGTAAGTAATTTGAACTGATCGAAAATAATATTGAGTTAAAAACAATATTTTGATTCTTTTTTCTATTGTATATAGGTATTAGAAAAAAGTATTGAAAATAGTTTTTGTTGCTTTGAATTTCCACCGATCGAGCTCACATATTTCAAACAAAATTTAATATAAGAGGTATACGTTTGGTGATAGTTTATGGCATTTTCTAGTACCTAATCCCCATTTAATTTCGAAAAAATGTGAAATACTAACGATAATAATGTATAAAAAAAAACTATTTTACAACACGAATGCATAGTACATTTAAACAAATAAATACAAAAATAATACAAATACGATAATTTCTATAGAGCTCGGTAATTATGTTTTTAGTATTAATAAAATAAACTAATACATTTCATATAATTATAATTTATTATTATACTATTTACCATACATTCAATGTTTTTGAAAACCATTATGTAGGTATAGGAACATGTAATTTTAGGGTATATTATATAGTTATTAATTTATATGATTCAGTCTAAACTTGTATGGGATTTTTTTTTCTTATTGTATAAACATTCGTAGAGAAAGCATTTATTATTTTCATAAATAAAACAGTATAATATAGGTAGGTACCAATATTATGAGCCACGGTCAATATCGATACATCTGCAGGGTTATTGGTTGTATACATAAATGTATGTTAATTACTATATTATATTATTGTAACAGAATTCATAATAATTATCGGTGTTGGCATAGGGATATTCAAGGAACAGTCAAGTGCGTCGAACGAGACTTTGATAATAAATATGTCGCAGGAAGTGGTGAAACCACTTGTTTGGTTTATATTGTAATATTGTAATATCGTAATAATGTAAAGGCAAAAAACCACGAACCTTCGTCTAAGGTTCTTCACTCAAGTACTCAGACTGCGACTCGTTGAAGGATAATATACGGCAACTTTGTGTGCGGTATAGTAATTTTGAGTCATAACTAGAGAATTTCATAAAATTTCGATTAACTCTCTCCGACCGACGTCAATCAACAGATGCAACACGGGGGTCTCTGCGCTGCAGACAACAGACGCATATATTATATTATTTTCTAGAAATAGGCCTCTTGAACGTGTACGCAGTACGACCAACGATATTAAAAAACGAAATAAACGATTTTAATTTCCCAGAGTTCCCCTTTTATGTTATGCCTCTTAAACATTTTATGTGCTCCGCAACAAATCTATTTTCTTTTCGACGTGCACGTATACGAACGTCGACTGTTCAGACGACGACAAAGAATACAAAACTAAATCGGCAACAGAACGAAAACGCCATTACGGCACATGTGGTGATGATGGTTAATGGTAAAAATAAAAAAAATAAAACACAATAAAATGTTACATTGTCATAATAATATTATACACTTACCGTTAAATTTGATTTCTAGCTTTTCGAGACCGACTTCGAGTTCAGCTCACCATGCGTAGTCGTTTAAATTGTTCCATTCAATCGATAATATATACGCAATAGCAATTATTATTATACGCGTGGGCCATCTACAGACCGTCCACGATTTAATATTATTATACTTTTTTACGAACATCAAAGAGCCATAATATAGCGGCTTGGTGTAAAATCTCCGTAATTATTACGCACACAGCTGGTATGGTACCTTCGTAAGTATTATTCCGTATTCGTAAGTATTTTATTATTATTTATTACCATCATGTACACAATTGGTAAATTCTTTCTCTCGAGCAATAATCTTGAATCTTGATTATGAATGCTGTTTAAAAACAGTATTTTTTGGCGTTTCATAGACAAATTTAAAGACTGTCAAAAATCGTGCGTATTGTATCCGATGACATGTTACCGCCTCTCTGGACCTTAATTACCTGGTATATAGTCTTATAGGTAATCATTATCAGTACACACATGTCCCCTAATGGAGCATAGAAATACCACCCATTGACGGTAATTTGTTCAAACCAATAATTATCAATCCAACGAATGTGTAATTTTTTTTCGGTTTCCCGTCAAATGTAGCCATCAGCGTTTCATTTGACAGTCTTAACGTCGGGAAAATGTGAAGAGAATAAAAATGTGTTTTTTAGGTTGCTTAAAAACTCCTCCCTTCGTGTATATATTATATTCCTTTGTAGGTATATAATACCTACAATCTACATATATAGGTACCTTTAATATATAAATCGTGACTACGTCACTGATGTTTCCCATAAATTATTCAAACCAAACAAATCATTTTGTGGGCACTATAATGGGTGTAATATATTATTAGAAAATATTAAAAACGCATTACGCTGTAGGTCATAATTGCCAATTGCCAAGAACATTTCTAGAATAAAAAATGAATTCGCATTAAATTAGATCCAAACGTGTTTTCTATCGCATTTTAAAATACATGTAAGACCAATAGTGTTTAGAGGTAGGTACTTATTGTATTTATTACATTTCTTTACTTGCACTGGAAACGAAATCACTTCTATTTCGATTACACTACTGTGATAATATGATAATTTTATCGCAGGGCATTTCAAAAGAGGGTGCATTTTTTATTTATAGAAACATTTTCACGATTGTCATAAATTCTTTCAGGGAAATGTATATACATTTTTGCAAAGAAAAACTTTTCATCACTTTGTTGGACTGAGAAGTATTTTTAACGAAATTGTTTTGTAAAAAACTAACCTAAAAGGGGTATAACACTGTCGGTTACTTTTGGTACATTCAATAGATACACCTAACACTATATATATATTTTTTCTTTGTATTTTTATTTCGGATAATATTATACAACTTACCTTAGATCTTTTAATTTCTGATTTGAAGTGAGTGAGAAATTATTTATTTTATTATATTCATTTTTTGGACTGATAAAGCTCCAAAAGTTGTGTTGCGTTTGTATTCTTGCAGTAGTATACATAGTACACGATTGCAATAAGCTGTGAAATTTAAATTAGATTGCTATTAACTCATCCAAATTATTCTTTTTTTTTAAATACAAAACGTTAAATAATATGTTGTTGTTATTGTATACATATTATATTATATTACATTTAATTTAAAATTATGTATTTATTATTTGAAGGTATTTTTTTTTAGTTATTATGGGATATACTAGTTTAATAAAAGTAAAGTTACGATTATAAATAATGTAAATACAAATTGAGTATTTATAATATTATGTAAATTTGGTTATACGTTATACAAAATTAATTAAATAATGTTAGTTTGGATTTTTGTAACTAAAATATAACTGCTAATAAAATCTTGTTATACATTGATGTTTTATTGTATGCGATAATAATAGTTTTGCTCCATTTAAAACAACAGTCTACCCAATGTTAAAAGAATGTCCACTTATTTTTTAATAGCTTATACGAGTTATCTTTTATGGTCATTTTGACACAAAATGTTTATATTGTACTTTAATCCCCAGTTTTTTTTTTATGGGAACTGAAATTTGGTTCATGGAGACGAAATGTCACGAATTAACGAATTGTATCGAACGTCGAATACACAAAGATACGTTATAATAAGTATCCGGTATTTATAATAATAACAACAAAAAAATAACATCGTTTTTTTATCATAGTAATAATTATTAGTATCGATCTAATCCTGGGAAAATATTTTTCAAATAAAATAATATTATTATATAATGACCGTGGCATTTCCTCCGTTAACACATCATCATCATAATATATCATAATATACATACATTACATGTATTATTATTATATGGTAGGTAGCTGTTTAATGATGAGAATTTTTATACCACACACACAATCTCATTAGGAAATGAATTATTTTATTTGGCACCGGAACTTTAACGCTGTTTACTGTTTAGTGTTTCGTCATTTTTTACTACACGGCAATCATAACACTAAACATCTTTATGACGTATCATATAAAGACCCGACGTCTGATTATAAGTAAAGTCTCCTCTGCAGTTTATATACGTGGAATCGTCAAATCATCCCCAGACGATTAAATGTACGTTACATATTATAGTATGTTGTTTGTTTTACCGTCTGAAGGCAAATTGGATTGTTTGTACTTACACATCGCGAACATAACATACTACAAGCACCCGTGTGCTAAAGTGGGATTTTATTGCGTACAGACGATATACATGTGTGGCACGCTAAGCGCATAGGTATAATATATAATAATACACTTACGCAATGGATGATCCTAAATTTTAGACTTATTAGACCGTCGTAGCGTTTCGGCTGGAAAATTGAACATCATTGGCAATCCGCCGCCGCATTATCGTTATCGTTAATTCATTAATAATTACAATATTAAATAAAGACCTTGATTAGGATGATTTACATACATACACATATATATATATATATATAAATATATTATGTATATATAGAACGCGCACCTTTGTATTTATGCGTTTATATTGCAACGAGCGATGATTCAACAATGATGATGTTATAGATATAAAAGTATTTAATATATTCACATTTTGTGTTCATTATACAATCGTCAACAATGGCTGAGTGGTATTGCAGCGTAATGAATAATGAAATAATAGAGAATGGATTATACATTCGAAGAGCGTTGATATTATTATCACATTTTTAAAAATTATGTTCAATAACGTATTTAAAAATAGATAAATACTATCAACATTTTTTGTAAAGGCGAAATGACGTAATAACAATATCATTATATTTCAGATTTTTCATATGGTACGACTGAGAAGAAAAAGCCAAAAAGGGGACAGCCATTGTATTTATATACACGTACACCGTATTGTAAGAGTACTAAGCTAATTGTTCAAGTATTGACATGTTAGTATTTTACATTATGGTACATAATAATCGTACATTATATTGTAAATATTAATCATTTTATGAATAGAAAATGTACAGATGAAAAATATTTTTGGTACCTATCTATCTAAGGATTATTAAGGATAAAAGTATTAAATATAATAAAAAAATACACTTTTTATTTGTCTACAACATGTTATGTTTTGCCATTAACTTTAACATGAAAGATTATACGCAGTTAACTCAAAGTAAGTACCTAGAAAATGCTTTGTGGGACAATAAATATGTACATTACACAAAGTACGTGATGTTTGGAAAATACAATTTGAAAACTTTCTTTTGTAGTGAAATGCACTAACATCAATCGACACTCATATACCTACTTAATAATTATAAATAAATATAACTCATTTATAGTTACACACCAGTACATTATATTTGATGTGTTTTTTTTTAATCGATTAAATGTAATTATGTACTCAAGATCTTAAATTATCTTACCTACTAACTCACTTTGTTACTAAAAAAATAAAAATTTTTTTGCTAATAAACAAGAATAATAGTTGTAAGATTAGTATTTAAGTTAAAGAAAAACTCCACGCTATATATATATGCACTATAATAACCATACTATAATAATATGTCTGATTTGGGCACCTTTTTAAAAACATTTAAAGTCTTCAAAATATAAAGTAATTTAACAAACAATTTTCATAGAATATTATTCTATATTTCAAATCTAAAAAAATAATATAGTACCCAAGCATATTTTATTTTGGTTTAGTATTTACTTAAGCTGTTTTAATACTACTGCACTTGATTAAAACTTCTAAGGTCAAAAATGATTTGAAATGCAATAACAACGATGATTGTAATATATTTCGAATAATATGAATAGGTACATTTATAAAATGTGTTTTGCAGAAAAGTTTTGTAGTACACTGGTATATGTACTTAAAACCGAAATTCTTTTTAATTTGCTAAGTAATGATAGTATTTAATGATAGAAATGATAGGCTATATGTTATTAATAGATTATAAAAACGATCAATTGGAATATACATTTCATAATTGTGAACGAACTATTTTACCCACAATGTAGAACATACAAATTAATAATAATAAAAATAATAATAAAGACGTGCGAATGATTTAATGGAGTTAAAAGTATTTGTATTGTGTTTCCTTTTGTGTGTTAAAAAGAATCTTAACGTGGCGTGGCCGAGTTAATGTGGGTATAGAACATTGCTGGAAGGGCTAAAGACGATGGTATAGTCCTATTTAGCAGATGTCATATTATGCAATTATATTTTAAGGAGGAGATACTCTTAGATCATAACGCATGCAAACAATAGATATTATATTCTAACAAATAATAATCTTGCATCTGATTTTTTTTTTGGAAATCGCATTCAGTTATCGACAAACATTAAAAATTTTTTTTTGTTTACTTTCCGTAAAAACAAAATTACGATCTAGGTACACAGTTTTCGCACTCACTTCGCCAATTTTTATAACGATTTGGTGTTATTATTTCTCATTGGATTCCTAGTTTATAATCACTGCACAACAAAAGAAACCATTTATATGATAGTTACCTGTACAAATAATAATTTAAATTTGATATAGGTTAGCTGTGCGTAAAGAATTTTACCATAGCATCATTAGAGCACTAATTTAAGGCTAATACCCATACGTATTAAATGTTTTATACGCCACTATCTAAAGGATCGTAACAAATTACAAATAATGAAATCGAAAAAAAGTTTTAATTTAATTAAAATCATTAAATTTTACTAAGCATCCCAACTTCCTTATTTTAAAACGGCTAATGGCTAATGTTAAAATGAAGAATCTTTCTTCGTTTCAAGGTATCAATACATAATACATTAAACAAGTTTCAACTCTTAATTACCAACGAAAAATTAAGAATTCTTGTGTTTAAGGTATATATAGTTGCACACAGGAGCTTAATTAGCATTGAGATAAGAAACTTATGTTTTGTTAGTCCAAATTATTATTTAATATTATGTAAGATAGAAAAATAAAAAAAAGCGTACACAAAACACGAGGATAATTTAATTTTCCTAAATAACAGTTTATTGTACCTAGTGAAGTTTATATTCCTTAACCGTTGTATTTCATTTTTATTTGAAAAGTACGAGAATAATATTATATTAATTATTAAAAAAAAAAAGAAAATGAAATTAACAAAGTTTTCTATCCATTTGATATATTATAAAATCTTACAGTTAATGGAACGTCTTAAATGTTTCGGTGAACTTCAACAATATTAAAATATTATAATATATACCACTATATCCGTATAATAAAGTTTAGATATTTTCTGCGCTGTTGTTTAACAACAACAGCATATTTTGATTATTAATCGTCGCCTATATTATATAATACATAACAAATGAGATATTTTCGCTAAAACCACGGAAAATTTTGAAAAACTGTGTTTTGTAACCTTTACTTAAAAGTGTACCGCGTCGGTCAAAAGATTACATTTATGATAATACTCATATAGCTATATAGGTACTACGTACATATATGTTGTGACTACTGTAAAGAGAATAATAACCAAGAAACTTGACCTGACCCTTGAGCCATAATTTTCAAGATGGGGGATTGGGTACTGTGTATATAGTGCACGGTTATCTGCACATAACCGTGGTATAGTACACTATACAATTTCCTGTATACTGGGACTACTTCGCGCTGTATACATATACACTGCACGTTCGTCCGTTACACGTTTATAATAACACAATATGTTATTGCGTCTTGGGTACTCAAGATGCACGCGTTTACGGTAAACCGCGATAACGCCACGGACGTGAAAATTCGTCGGGACCCCGGGATACGGTAATGCAGTGAGGCACGTCGGTGGATGTCATCGCAGGCCGACAAGTCGTGTAAACGAACACAGTTTTCTCCCACGAGAGGAGAGTCATTATAACCGGCTCCGCGCGCGTACCCGAGACCGGCTCTTCAAACACCCAGTCTCCGGAGAGTCTCTCACCTGACCAGTTTCGCCAGCGTGACCAGCCGTGCACGTCGTCGTCAGCTGCCGCAGTGCGTCTCACCACACACAACACGAACCACCGAGTTTGACCACGTTTAACCGCGTCCGCCTTTCGTATATTATATACCTAAACTTGTGATAACGCGATACTATACTTATACACCTACTGCTCTTATTTCATCGAACGTGTTGCGCGTTTATTCATTTTTTTAACCCGTTTGAAAAGTCCGATTATCCACACGGACGTTCCACCGCGGTTTTTCGTCGCGACGTTATAGTTTCCGGCCGCCGCCTACACCGAGTGTTCCGGCTGAACTCCGGATATCCGGAGTGTTATGCGCGACGCGACATGAACAGATACTACGAGGCGTACCCGAAAAGCGGCGGAACCATGCTGACCCTGCCACCGCCACCGCTGTCCGACCCGTCGGCTACGTGGAACTCGTACAGCTCGGAACCGGTCAAAGGGCTCGGCAACCGGATCAAGCCGGACAGGAACCGTCAAGCGGTTAACGTGCAGAAGTTGCAGTGGCGTAACTCCAACTGGGTGGATGGATTCCCGGAGCTGGTGGGCTCGATGACCATTGCGGACGTCAGCCCGAGGTTCGCGGTTAAGCGCATCCTGCTGCTGTACGAGAACGCCCAGTACAGGGAGGCGGCGAATTTCGTGAACCGGCTCAGCCACAATACGTTCAAGGCGATCCTCGACCAGCTGCCAATCGACCTGTTCGTCGAGGCCATGCCGCACAGCCTGTCCATACTGGAGGCTCTCTATGCCAAGGTATTTCTGTCGTCCGACTGCGGCGTCAAGGTGCTTCGGCCCGACCACGTGCTCATGCGACTGGTCAAGCTGTTCACCGGCACCGCAGCGGGTGGCGCTGATCGGTGGCTGGGCAGCACGCGCAAGCTGCTCAAGGTGATCGTGCTGTCCGAGCCCAAGCTCCGGAAGGCACTGCAGGTGCGCCGCAGGGCGCTTGACAAGGCGGTCGAGGGCCTCGGCCAGCACGGGCTGGTGGGCACCAGTGACGAGACGCTCACCAACCTGCACGACGCGCTCAAGGTGGAGTTCCAGAAGCTGGTGGACACGTACAAGGCGGCTCTTCTCAAGCTGGAAGAGCTCAGCTTGTCCGGCAAGCGGGACGGCGTGAGCAAGGGCCCAGCGCCGGTGCAGGCGTCGCACCAGCGGCAACTGTCCCTGCAGCAGTCCGACATCCAGGAGCGGCTCATCAAGAACAAGACGCTGCTGAACGTCGTCGAACCCGTACTGGAGAACAAATCGATGGCCATACTATTGACCATACTCAAGCGACGGGTCGAGTACGATAAGGACGCTCTGTTCCAGTTCACTCAGCTCCGTAAGGAGCTCAAAGTCGAATCTGAACACGTGGTGGCGCCTCTGCTCATGAGATACTCGCACGCTTGCGAACAGGTGAGAAACTGAGAACTATACATATTTTAATATCATACAGTGATTGAGGGTTTAATACCACTGTAGTTATGTACCAGTAAGTCCAAAATTCTCACATCACCCTGGGACCTATTTTTTTTTTTGTGAGACCATGATACATTATTATGTTTTAATGCCGTTTCTTTTAACATTAATCAATAAAAAATCAAATTCAATGGTATACATTGCTTTTCGATTACCTATCTACTGTCAAAGAAATACATTTATATTTATAATTAGGATGATATATGAGACTTTTGAGACACATTGTTTATGGTCGTGCAGGACGTGGCGTGACGTGACGGTTTTTGCGTGTGGTTATATTTTGGGGGTCCTATATAGCTATATATGTAAATTTATTGTTTTAATTACCTTAAGCCCAGGGTATTTTTGTTAAACGATCAATAGCCTTTGTAAATACTGTTATTCACACGATGAGTTTATAAATTAATGATACATAATATATGAATTATATATATATACGTGTGTCGTGTATATATGATTATATTTTGGATAGTAGCTAGTGGTTGTTCCTCCAAGGAGTTATAGTCCCTTAGCACCAGGTCACAAGACTGACTTTTTTTTAGGGAGGGAGGAGAGGGTAGGTTGTAGCCCTGGTATTTTTTCCTAATAAATTTACATTATATTTATCCAGTATAATTCACTAAGCATGCATCCCCCCTCCAATTGTTTTCAAATAATGTATTTATTTCAAATTCTAATTATTGGAATTTATAAAAAAACTTAAGGATCAAATTTTCAATTATTTAGATTAAGTGCAAAATCAGCTTGATAAATGTAAATAAAAATGTGATTCTCATTTGAAAAAAGAAATTTGTATCGTCACAGACACTCATTAAAATATATAACAAATCTAAGCATTTTCCAAATTTGAGAAACTGTCTTGCTAGTTGCCGCATATTCGTTTCTAGCTGATTTACACCCCATCGAAGGAAACATTTTTCGTGACTTACCAGTTATTACCATCCAGTTTATTTTTGAGGATCAATGTGCCCCTTCTCTAAGCCGCTTCCGAGTTGTTCTCATGCTAAAATGTATACCTACGGGCTACGGCTTAAGGCGTTTGGATTTCTTGATGTCTTGCGAATCATCGAGAAGTTGTTTAGCAGCTGCTAATTAGTGCAATACAACTCTATATATATGTAGTCAGCTATTCGCCTGCTTGTTGGAAAAATTCTTGGACATCCTCAGATCGCGATGGATAACGTCGTAGTCATTCCTGTCGAACCGGTATGCTGCCACTGTACAATATGTGTAGTAATTAGTATTATAGGTGCCGTAAGGCATTATATTTTGACAACTTTGAGCCACTAAAGTTTTGAGTTTTTTGGAAAGCTACCCTTCGAGTCGTAACTCGTACATCCAAATAGCTAGTTGGACGATATACTATAAGTATACCTACGGCGACGTCGATCGGAGACGATTGGAGCAGTTTGCCGGTGCAGGGGCCTTCATATTATTAGTATGTGTCCTCGGTCTCCAAACAGAGGAACGTATCACAATAGTGTCATCCCATATATACATACCTAGGTACCTAGAGTTCGAGCCGACTCCGAGCGAAGTCGTTGACGAAAATATATTAATCGTCTCCGTCTCCGTCGGCGTAGCGACGGTCATGTGTGCGGTCGCAAAGATCTGCAGCAGATGTGTCGCGATGTGTACCTCTATAATACGCGTGTGATGAGATCAATGACCGTGGACAAGTCGACTCTCCGACCGGCGCTGGCTATTATCGAGGGAACCAGTCGCACACACACACACACACGCGCGCACATCCGTTTTTCTCACATATTCATCTTTTTCCATTATGTTCGCGTTTTAAACGCTAACGCGCTGTGTGAACGAACTGACATCCATGATAAAAATTTTTTGTAAATTGTATACATACCATATTATATATACCTTATACCTATATTATCTAACTGTAAAACCAGCGAGTATATTATATGAACACGCGAGACCGTACTATACATACCTATACATACAAATATATACATATATATATGTGTATGTGGAGTAACGCATATCCAAGGACACCGTATAATTATTTCAATTTAATACACTTAGCTCATATAAAATATACGAGTTCCTATGTAGTGTTCTATACCGGGCAGGTTCACGTGTTTACTGTACGCAAATCGTGCTCGGTGTGTGTACACTGTACACATTACGTGTATTATTATACGTCATGCAGGGCTCGGATTTTGTAGCAAAATAGATCGTTAAAAGAGCATTTATAATTGCAAAAAAAACATTTATTTAATTTAAGCTTGAAAAATACAAAAATTAAATTATTGTTTCTCTTTACAAATGTCAAAACGGCCGCTATTATAAAACCACAGTTTTTATTTTATCGGCTACCTATTAATTATAATGTTATGTACCCCGATAACAAACAAAATAATTTCGACGACGAAACACGAACGTTTTACATATTTCTGGCTATAGTAGGTATAACTACGTAACTAATATACGATTACAGAAATGTATGATATTTTCGTGAAATTTAATCATAAATTAGCAACGATGTACACTGAGGGGGTGAAGCAAAATAAAGTTTACTTCATTGCAACGAGAATGAAACGAAACGAATTTATCTATAAAAAATACCTTTTATCACACCCTCCAGAAAATAATGCAGCCGTTTGCCTCATTTTTAACAAAAGTTATATCAATATGTTTGTTGGGACTTGGACTCTGTGTTAACAATAATATTTGTTGTTCATTTTTGCGGCCGAAGGCACACTTATATTATTTAAACTGGCTTAGCCGATTTACACACGAAGTCATCCCGTGTACACATTTAAACCGAATTAAACCGAGCGGCGAGAGCTGTATTTTATAATTGATCATTTTTTTTCCGGCCGAAGTCCCGGGTAATGCAGCAATGTAATATATATATATATATATGCCTGTATTATGTGTTTACCACTTACCGTGTATATAGTGTATCACTCACTGTGTATGTGACATCCCACCTATACGCTCAAAAAGCGATTGCGTGCTGGCGACACCGAATTTGTCGAAGCAGTGTATAACGTAGAAGCGCGACGTGCTATAACAGCACGTCCACTATAGTTGGTTATTAGCATCACAATAGGGCGACCACCGACGAATGTTTTAGACGGCTGTCTTAATTATTAGAAGTTTAGTATGAACAGCTGATTGACGATTGGGCACCATTGCATTGCTCGGTAGGTACCACGAATTAAGATTTTTTTATTAAATTAATTAAAATCTTAATCCGTGGTAGGTGCTCACCGGGTACGCAGTTATTGTCTTCGTCTTATCACAATAATAATAATCTTACTGAACTGGATATTTTTCAAATAAAACCGAACTTGAACGCTATACGAGTTGTATCTAATAATACATATTCTAAATCTGTAGAATATAACAAGAACATTATTCCAATTTAGGAAAGAGGTGCAAACCTGTATAAAGTTTGGAGCATTGCATTTGCATGTCGATTTTCAACACAAAATAGACCGGTGTTTTTTTTAATTTCTCGAAAGGTCATTTAACTATGGGCTTGAATACAATAATAATAATGTCTCTATTCAAAGGAAATTACAAATTATGATTTCAAATGTTTAACGTATGAGAATATGATATAGTTATATGTTCTATAATGTAATTTAATCTATAAGTCTATTACCGATCGCATATACCAACTTATTTCACTATATTATATACCTATTATATTCAATAGTATTGATATAAAATATAAATATAGTAAAATATATTAATAACAATTACGTGGTTTAATGAACGTATTGTATTTATTGTGATATTATACGTCAATACCAGACAATACTTCCAAAAACCACATTGATTATATTTATTTTGGCGAAAAAAATAATTCGAAGTCATTAGTCATTGCATAACATGATATGTGTGCTATATAATAATTTATAGTGATACAAAAATGACAAACGGTACCGCAATAAAAATAATATATTGAATTACTTAATCAATAATAAAATATATTTTATAATTTTTTTTAGTAATCAAATGATATATTTCTTCTATACACATCACACATATTAAAATAGGATATTATAAATTATAATGTATTACAATAATTTACAAACATTTTACAGAATTTATTTGATCTAATACCTAAACTTAATAGTAAAACAAATAAATTTATTTATGTGAAATTTTTGTCAATATTTGATTCACATGCTCTAAAACTTTAATAAAATAAATAATTATATTTTTTGTTTTCATTTTTCTGTGCTCTGTTAAAATGTAAAATAGTATTATTTTAATTTCAATAAGATTGTGCAACATTTTATATCAAACTTTTTTAAATTTAAAAACACATAAATCTATTATTACATTTTTAATTTCCCACGAGAAAGTATATATAGTTATATAAGTATAGTAAAAAATATAATCATAAAAAATTAAGAAAGGTAATACATTTGTAATTTGTTACCATCTTTTGTTTTTTTAAATCCTCATTATATAACAATGTATTATCTATAACTTTATAAAACTCCTATAGGATATAATTATAGGAATTCTGCGACAAAGAGGAAGTAATTATAGTTTAGATGTGAAATAATAAATTGAAAACATCTTCTAATAAGATAATAATAATAGGTCATACAAGAACTCTGTATTTTTTTTTATTTTTTATAAATATATAATATTTGATAAACTTTTTTCCCCTTTATGACATGTTTTTTTTATACTTCTTTCGATATATTTTCAACGTACAAAATATTATTACAAAATATATTATGTGTAGACGATTGGAACACAAATTAATGACAACATTTATTTTAGGCTTTTAAATAATGTGAAAATGCCTTAATTAAGCTATATTAATGCTTATGGTACCTATATGGCTATAATCAATTTGAAGAGCATATACAAATATCATATCTGTAGGTAGTTCAGCTAAAATATGATTTAAATTATCAATAATATTTTTTTAAAGTTAAACAGTAATGTTTTCTCTTATAAAATGATGACTGTTATTATATTATGTTAATACGTGTAGTATTTATATATACATAGGTACCACATATAATTAACATAACTCCATAAAACAAATCCAGATGGCACACAAACATACACTTAAACTTATATAAGTACTTATATTCATTGAAGAAAAACATAAAATAATATAACGGCAGTATTGGAAAAATCATTTGAACATAAACTCTTTGATAGTATTAAATTCGAAAAGGCTTACAAAGGAGTCAATGAGGTATCTATAAACAAAATTAAATTTCGCTTTTGACTGCATTTTTTTACGCGAGCACTTATATATGAAAATGAGAATTTGTTATTTTTATCTCGACCAACTGTATTATTTTATGCATATACCGGTGTTCAATACATACTCTTATGCACATTTAACGTATTTTATCAGAGCGATCAGAAAAATATAATTACGATTAACGGTTTCTATTTGACGTGTTCCCATCCAGTTTCTCGCCATAATATGTAATTCAAAATTACCAAGTCATTCATAATATATGTAGATTTACTAGGTATTTGAAAACTGTTGTCCAGATAATGATATTTATAGAATTTCGGAACTCAAGGTTAACTCTGAACACCCCGGGGTATCGAATATATTAGTCTACTGACACACTGCACCGAAGTACTGTTGTGATCTCAAACGAGTTAACGATGAGTAGTTGTTTTGCATCATAAATATACAACGTTTGTATTATAGCCTTTCTAACCGGTATTTTTCGAACATGTGCAGTAGGTACCTACCACTGCAGGAGATAATACGTTATTTCTCCCTAGTATGGGTATAACTCGGATCGCGATTAACCCAATGATATTTGGCAAGACATTTTTGAATAAATAAACCCACGGAGAGTAATATGCTTCCGTAATTCGTATGGTTTTTTTTTTTTGCGTCTGTATGATATTTTGTACGCATTTTACACGCTTTCGATAAGGAAAAACAAAATACAACAAGCGGTTTGTGACATTAGACGACAAAGGATCACCGTTACGACGCTCTCCGAGTTAAGACGACGTGATGAATGGATTTGTGTGGCGATAAAATGGGTTTAAAATACACACATACAAGAATGAGATTACTTTTTTTCCACATGGAAATCATTTATGATGAAACAGAATATTATTTAACATTAAACACCTTCCCGTATTATTTTCCTCAAAATATGAGATACCGTTATCCTCCACAGATTTGATTTTGAACTAGAATCATGTAGGTACGTTTACTTTCCTCAGAATATGAATGTCGTACTTTAATTTTTTAAATATTAAATTATTTATTTCATTTGTATTATTATATATTGTACACACGTAACACTCTTAATTGATACCATTTTATATTATATTTAAAATTGAAATTATTATAAAACAAATTTTATTTTCCTATATTCTATTACGATGGTGTTTAATTTTAATTTATTTCATATTTATTTTGATATCTATGCCCGTACATAAAATATAAAAATATAAAGAACAATATTCTAGGCAAGAAAACGATATAGGACCTTGTACCTATGTACCTTCTGCACCTATTCATATTAACAAGAGTGTGATCATTTTTTATTTTATTAAAGGAGGAGGAGGAGGAAAATGGACAGAAAAGAAAACTGTATCTCATTTTTGGAGGAAAATGGCTAAAGCCACCTATACCCACATTCCTTGTCTGGTTACCTATCTACCTCCTAACCTAATACAAGGTAACATTATCGTTTACGTAGTGTTTGCTTGAAAGGTTTGAATTTTCGCTGGGTAGAAATTATACGGTTTTTATTTTTTTTAACGACCGAAATTCGAGCGCTGAGCCCTGGGCAGTTGCGCCGCCTGTGCGCCCACTTACTGCGCGAGTGCTGGTGAATGTTGGCTGTTTTATTATACACCGGAGCATCGTATTATGTACATGTATTAGTGTAAGTCGTTGTAGTGGGTTTATGATGTGTACACTATGAACGAAATTCAGGATGTTATTACACTCACGATGGCAATTATTATTATTAACTAGCTATAGCCTTCGTTCGAGGGTTGGTTGAATTTTCACTAACGACCTTCAACCTTTGCGGTCGGTTATAATTGGATCGAATTCCACTGTTATCAGTAACGTAAACATAGGTAGGTACACGTATGTATAAAATGTTTATTTCCCGCACATAATTATCGTCGAAATGTTGACGATGGGAGAGAAAGTATAGTAGTAGGTATTGATTCGATTCACAAAACAAATAAATCGAGATGCGAATCGTTCTGCGGTGCTGACAAATAGATTTGAATTTTGCTCAATAATCCACGGTTCGTATGCGTGCGCGAACCCTAAAAACGATACTTTCTAATGATATAGATGATTGCCCGTGTATTTTATGTACGAACGGGGATCATACTTACGATAATTCGGGCGATGGTCACGAAGCGAATGATATACTAATTAGTAATTTATGATTTTCGTTTTAAAGGTTTTGGAATTTATGAAGGAAGTAGCGGAGGACGAAGATTCCAGCGACATATCTGGCTATCACTCGGATTCGGACAGTGCCATAATGATGTCGGGGAATTCACCGTATGTCACCAAGAGAGCCAGACACAATTTCATTTCACGATCAGGTAACTTATAGAGACTGTACATTAATTTAAAAAATTAAAATTATGGATAATTTCAATATGTATTCAAATTTTCATTTTGGTTTATTGCACAAAAAGCACGGTGAACAAATAACATTTTAAACATATTTTTCTGCTTTATTATTAAGTTATAAAATTAAATAATTTTAATAATAAACCATGTGCCGTATTAACCTTATGTTTGTTTGATTCATAAAATCATATTGGTAGGTATGTGAAAAAATTACATTCAGTTAATTTATACAATTTTATTTACTTAAAAAATTGATTGCAGTTTCAACAATTCGAACTTAATTAAAAGGAATATTTCACATACTAAATACTTCATTACCGAAAAAATATATATTTGAAAAATATTAAATACCAAATACAAATATTTTTAATTAAAACGTTCTTTCGATTTCAACGTCATTGACTTTTAAACCCTAAAAATGAGTTTCAAATATTTGTTGAGAGTTGATTAATAAAAACTGCTCACATGGATGGAAAAAATATTAAAAATATTTTTTCACTTAATGGTGTGTGTAAATTATTTTTGTGTTATAAATTTTAATCAAATAAACGAACTCATTACATTTATACATACATATAGACAGGTGACCGTGTATTTATATATTCGAAACAATATTACAGCGTATGTGTGTATAATATACCATTTAGTTATTACCATTCACTATTACATTTTCCGACTTCCCCTTAAGATTATGGATTATGGATAAAATGACAAAAAAATATAAATAATAACGATGACAATATTGATACATAAATTGAGTAATAATTAATTAATTACTAAGAACATACTTTTAAAATACTACAAGGTATGGGGGTTGGTGGTCGCCCGCTTCTCCCCCCCTCCCTGAAAACGCCACTATCGTCGTACTGTGCGTATTGCCTACTTACTTATGTTAGGATGAGGCTACAATAATAAATTGTACCTACACACACAGACATTATACTATATTTTACCTGCACGACATTTGTTTAAAATACATTCATTCGCCATCGGTGCGTAAAACAAATCACGAACATTAACAGAAAAAAACCACGTGTCGTGAAAATCAAACGAATAAGCGTTCCGTTCACAAAATGTGTCGATGATGCGAAGTCACAATATTGCGCCCAAATCTACGTCGTTTTCACACCACAGATGGGTATGCGCCACAGTCTCGCGGTGTCTGTGCAACCCATCTCACCCATGACCCCTCACGATCGTGCGATGCCATGCGCATATTGTAATGTGACGTACGTCATAATCCGATATATTATAATATTACGTTGCACCTCGGCGACAACGACCACAACGCGTATATTATTATTATTATTATTATTATTATTATAACTGTACGCGAAACGTCCACGACTGTAACGTAGCGGAAGCGTATATATTATAATATAATAATGATATTATTGCGATACACAATAATAATCTGACGCACAATCGAGCCCCGTGACTTTCGCGTTTATGTAGGTGTTATTATTATTATTATTATTATTATTATTATGGTCCCTTCTCGTTCTGATAATTAATTATTGTACGCATGTCGTACGCGCTCGCGGGACAGGTGTAATACAATATAATAATATTGCACCTCGACCTTTTCGGTATACACGCGTACGTCGTGTACGTCGTCTACGATGTGTTGTACCCGCCAGTCGCGGCGGGCGGCTGTTTATGGCGTCGGATAAATACCGTCGAACATAATATGTGTTCGCGGGCGTGTGGACACCTGTGCACGGACACCCGGCTACCTCTGTACACGGGTGCAACGAATGGCATGTGCGTATTGTACATTTCACGCGAACGCATCCTGTGAGTGTTGTGAGACTCGTCGGAGAAAGCGGGTCCGCGAGTATTCGAATCGCCATTATACGTTCGTGTATACAGGTAGACGCGCGTAGTTATTCGGTCCATCTTGCTCGCCCGAGAGAATCGCTCGTGTATTATTATAATACGTTCGATGATTATATTATTATAATATCATGCCGTGTATACGTACCGAACGTATATTATAATCACGAGCCTGGGTAGGTATATAATGGCTATAATATGATGTTATGATGAGAATACCTGTATATAATATACGCTCGGAACGTGTGTTGTTCCGTCCGCGTACTGCAATCGAGCGTGTGTGCGCGCGTGTATAATAATATATGTATATACAAAGTACAAACTATAATATTACTATAATACGCGTATATGACATATTATACAGGTAGAGACATAGGTTGATAAAGTTTGAGCGCTCGTTCTTATAATAATACCTACATTTACGTTCCGACGTTATCGAGGTGAAACGACTTCGCTGATGATGATGTGCGGCGGCGGCGGATCTAGTCCAGTGGCGTACTCAGCTTTTTATTGAAACGCGTGGCGGGTGGAGTATGAACTGTCGTCTAATTTCGGACCACATTAAACCGTAAAAAAATGTGTTTTCTTGAGTCATATCCAGGGCGCTGGTTAATTGTAATAATACCATGATTATATTATATAGTCGACAATCGTGTGTATAAGGAAAATTTGTATAATATGTTGTTAGGTGCCTATGTATAATACACCTTATGTACATTATCACCAATGACTCATTAGTAGGTTTTTAACATCTTCAAACGTAATTCACCTTTGTCGGATGTCGGAATCAATAAAACACGTTCAACACCCCGCGAGCACGTTTCTGCAGAGATCTACTTACGGGCATAGGCGGTTGGGATTTGAAATTAATTGAACGGGCTAAGCCAATGACTGTTATATTATTGTAATATGTACACGGGTTGGTATACCGCGATAGTGAGAAGTGACGATCATTATATGGGTTAGCCGGTTAGGTATTAGCTGCAGTTCAGCAGTTGTTGAAATATCATATAATTGTACTACATGATTTATGATATTTGAGCGGCGAACGGAAATCGTAATGCCGTCATGCTGCGTGTGCGTTTGTACGAATCAAATTTAGTTTCTACCGTGCGTGTGTTACATTATTATACGTTATTTTTGATTTCCAAAAATACCTGTTCGAAAGAGTTTAATACTTGCACGCAGAACGTCATAGAAATGTACTGTACTGTGCGAATACGACAAATATTTCCCGGGATGAATGGTATATTTATATTTTATTTTTTTATATATATATATATATATATATAGTATGGGTGCGAGAAATTCGTATTTAATCGAAACTGTACGGCAATAATCGTTCATTTTTCAAATTATCCGAGTTCCTATATCTTTTATACCTAGTATATTATAACAATATATGGGTTACAATTATCCTTACTCCATAGCCATTTGTGCTTTAGTATACATACAATTAATTATCTCCTAACCTAAACTGCATGTTGGTATTTCGATTCATGTAACATAAAAAAAAAAACTAATAATTGCTGTGAAAAAGAATTATTGCCATTAGCAAGGAAATTTGAATCCTCAAATCGCATGAAAAATCTTAAGTACTTAAAAATTCTAAAAATCAGAATTTAAATACATGCGGGGGACAATGCTTGATGAAACACCCAATTTATAAATATGTATTTTATTCATTTGCATAGTGCTTATATTACATGTATAGGTATCTATAATGTATAATGTATATATAGCTAATTAATTAGTGTTAGATTAAAATCTCTATTACTTTTCTTATAGCAGCTGCAATTGAGATATTTTTTCTTCCGAAATTATAATTTGTCGATTGTTGAGATTTACCGGGACTATTCGTGTGTGCACAGTGCACACACAAAACTGCCATTGTAGCTCCATTTCCGACTAAGGGAAGAATCGTCATTCCCTTGACGACGAGTTTAAATTTAGATTTTCTACGTTTTGTCGTTTCCTACGAAATTCTAATCAAACGTTCCGGAATTCAATATTTCTGACATCTGTATGTATTGAAGAGGGAGTAGTCATTTCCATCGGTGACAAAGTAATAAACTTTTATCAAATTGCGCAATAATAAGTGCCAATAATCAAACTGTCGGAATTGCTAATTTCATCGTAGAACTTATAATCAATAATATAAGTATATACTGTGTAGGTAGGAAAAAACGACGATATTTTTTTTGTAAAATACGAAACTAATAGGTAATTGCACGCTACCCCGGTTTTTTCAAATTACACGCATCTATGGTTACATTATTTTATTTACCAAAGAAAAATGTGTCATAATTGACGTTCCCTTCGGAAAAACTTTAACATCATCTCAGATAAATAATACTGCTACCTAGATCAGGAACTCGCACAACACCGAAGTATAAAATTGTTAGTTTCCTCAGATTCGTTTCATTATGCATAATATTATAAAATACAAATACTAATTATAATAGTTGAGTTGAACGTGTCACATCATACCAAAAATGTACTCATGGCATTCAATTTCAAACCAAAACATTTACTTATACGAAGCAAATAATTCGAGAACGATTTTCTAAGACTTCAATGGTGGTGTATTGGCGTATTATATAATGTGTGCATTTCCGACTGTGGTGTACAAATTATATTATATAATATGTATAGTGTATTTTATTATAATTTAATGTGCACTTATACACATCGTTTATATAGTAATGTACTAATGTGTATATGGGTAGGCTGTATAATAATATGCACTCGCGTGCCGTGTACAATAATATGTATAATTTATTCTCGTATAGTTATTTTTATTTGTAACGGTCCACAACAATGTGTTTTCAATTAAATCTTTTTTTTTTTTTTTTACAGTGCGGTCGAGCAGCAACCACAGCACTCGCACTAGATTAGTAATGAGCACTGGATCGAGTTCGGCGAGTCCCCCGGACGGCGGAGAATCGTCTACGACAGGTAACAATGATGTATAATTATTATCACCATTATTGTTACCATTGATCATAATATATAATATACGTCTCTCGTGTAAAACGCGCAGCACCACTCTTTTCAGGATTAATTGTGCAAACGTGTGGGCGCAGTGGGTATCATTAACGCGTGTATGCGCGTATTGTATTATTGCTGACCACAATATATAGCATTTGATATTCACGTATGCAGAGATAATATTATGTATTATGAGCGTGGAAAATGACCCACGGTTGGAGGTTTATTTAAGCGACTGTAAAACCTCGACCGGCACAGCCAGCCGCTGTAGACGAAAATCGATATTTTAATCACACTCAATTTCCGTGTATACACAGTCCATTTAATTTGATCGGATCGATTTTAGGTTTCACGGACATTAGTAATAATAATTTTGTGTTAGTATATATAGGTACCCTGCAGTATGTATTGTATAGTCGACTGCGAATTAGATAAAATTGGGACACGGGAAGTAATTTGGGCGAGCAATTTGGTTTTGTTTTTATACTGCAGGCACAATTGACCTAAACTAGCTCATACTTATATTTATTACTACTTTTATTTTTATATAATATATAAATACATATTGTATATAATGTATAATATATATTTTGTTCTTTGGTTCAGCGACACCGAATTGGGAATGGTCAACCGAGAAATCGATGAATACGTTGACCTGTTGTCGTAAGTGTGGACCACCGACTGCTTTGCAATTGCAGACCGTTAACGATGATCGAGAGAAGTTGGCCTTGCAGACGGAGCTCGAAACCACAAAAGCCGAACTAGAAAGGACTAAAGCCAAACTCGAGTCTTTAAACAAGGCTGCTAAACAGGCACAGTCTTCGAAGTGAGTTTTAAAAAATATATATTATAATATATTTTACATAAAAAATTATTTGTATTTACATATTTGTTATTAAATATTTTAAAAATTAGGGTGCTTCTATTTGGGTAGTGATAAAGCTTAAGCTTTGCATTTAAATTACATGCTCAATGGAATTGTCTGTAATATATTATGGAAAAATAAATTAAACGTTAAATTAACGTATGAGACTAAAAGTTCCTTAATATTTTGATTTGATCAAAAAAATGTTTAAACAAAGTATAGACTAGAATGTCCACTACGGCATCAGATAAAGTTTCGCCAAAAATTAGATAACGCGGATTTACTGTATACCGAAGTTATTTACAGGCTATCTAAAGCAAAAAAAAACAGTCAACATTATAAAACCATTAGATTGTCATCTTCGAAAAGAATCTAAAAATACGTTGTTAAATAATAATAATAATAATAATAATAATGAATTTTTTAGTTGATCTTACTTTTAATTAAACTTCATAGTAAAATATATTTACCCAAAGATTTTGAGTAATAATATATCCTTATATAGCTACCTATGATCGTTAGTATTTTTTTATCTATAAAAATACTATTAAAATGTGACTAACATAAAAACTATTGTATGAAACGGTTTTAACTAAATGGAATAACATTGTATTATGTTTATTATTATTGAAATAATGAAGTTAGATGATAATGAGTAGGTTTAATTTCAAAATATTTAAATTATATAAGAAAACACATATTTATGTAGCTGCCATGATATTGTAACCAACCAATCAGAGAAAAAATACTTATGACTTTTTAACAATCATATTTTCAATCAAAATAAAAACACATTATATAATTTTTCTTCAAATCGTATAGATGGCACCTAAAGATTTTACGTAATTACAATAATAAATAATAATAGACATGCAAATCCAACAATTTTTTTTAAATCTAACAAAACTACACAATTGACGATTGTATAATAACAATTTCATAACAATGTGTACAAATAATTCATAACTTACAAGATAGTTATCAATATTTTAACTATTGGTTTTAAAATTATTTTCGAAAGATCAATTTCACTGAAACTGTTTGCATATATTTTGCTGTAAGATAAAAAAAAAACCTTATAATTTATAATAACTACTGCAAAAATGCTATTTCGTTATTCTTGGTAATTTAGTATTCACTCTAAACCGCGGGATTTCGTAGTCTATCAGAGCCGTATACCTAAAAGAAAAGACGTAGATAAAAATTGCTAAAATGAGTTATACTTTATTGAGTCAAGCTTAAAAGTATATAAATTGTTTTAAATATAATATTCATTCTCACCATGTGAAACAGATCTATAGTAATAATAATAATAATAATAATAATAATAATAATAATAATAATAATAATAATAACAACAATAATATAATAGCGAGTAATTACTAAATGACGGTACAAGCGATAGGGCAAGAAAAACATTCATTGTTTTATTTTTTAATTTTTAGATAACATTATTTGAAAATTCCAAGTATGTTCCTGATACACGAGATCACGACATTTTTTCGGTCGTAGAGCATATAATATATTATTGTAGTGAGCTGTATACAGAGCACGAATAGTTTCTCGGTTGCCATTCCATTTATTTTGTACACTATTTTATGCAGCCTAATTTAGCTGCTTCATTACGTACGGCTTTTGACTGAATTATATATTACACTCAGTTTGTGCTTGTTTCATTAGCAATGACACTCGTATACTCGTACGGATCGTAGGATCAAACCGAGTCTGTTGGGAGTTTCTAATTTATTTATTTTTTCACTAATGTCTGCTCGACTGAGGAAATTCAAACGTAAACGCGTATTTTCAATTATTTCGAAACTTTCTATAGAGTTTTGTTTTGAAATTCACTGAATTTAGGTAATATGCGTGATTCCATCATATCATATCGTATATATTCAGCTATATGGTGTAATATACAGTCCATTATTGGTCATAATTCATTTTTAATATCAGTACGAATATTGATAAATATAACATATTAAAATAAACATTTATATTCGAATTATTCAAATACGCTGTTTAAGTTTATAGGTGTAAGAAAAAAAAAGATGCCTATCGCCAATCGAATATTTTCCTTTTCAGGACATTTCACTTGTAGTTATAGTGGATTTCTAGAATTCGATAAAATACGTTTTGTACACTGTAAGTAGGTTGTACAAAATTATAATAGTTTAGACTGCCTTGTAAAATTGTGTAAGTCTACAACACGCGTGTATAAATTATATAGTATTATACCGAATGGCGAATACCGATTGATAACATAATATAGGTTAACGAATGTTAAAAACTCTCTGTAAATGGGACAACTCGAGATCGATTTTTATTGATTTTTAATTAAAACGTAACGAGACGGGATAGTGCCAATCGATTTAAATATTTTGAATAAAACTTATGTTTTTTTATTTATTTATAACATCCAATGTATTCATCAAATACATTTAAACCGTATACCTACGGTTACGTATGTCATATAAATACATGGAGTTAAAATAATTACACTTTTATGTCTCGGGATCCGCGAGCTCTTATAGCAGCTAATCGGCGTCCGTTAGTTGAAAAATCCTCTCCGGCTGTTTGGTATAATATGAGACGAATATGTTTAACATAATCAACAGAAGAAAACCTAACTATGACTAACGTGACTTCGGTAGTTGTTTTAAAGATTAGTGATATAAGGACGAGTCATATTTACGTAGTAAAATTACATTATACACTCGTCAAGGAATAGGATTTCAGGGAAAGATAAGTAAACCATATAGTGTAGTGGATATGTATTTTGAAGTAACATTTTACAGATGTTCGCCGCAATGTTAAACTTTACATGCTAATTGATCATCCAGATAGGACGTAATTATTTTGCCATAGTTTACTCGGATGAAAGAGAATAATTGTAGAAAGTTTCCCCATATTATAATGGACGAATATATGCGAATGCGAGAACAGAGTTTTAAATAAATTAATAGCTTCTTCTTCTTTTTTTTTTTTTTTTTTGTCGAGAAGTTCGCACAACAACTTGTGTTGTATATATAATGAAACGGCGGCTGGGAGCTTTTCGCAGCGGGGTTTATAGTTAATATACATATAATTTCCTTTTCACTATACAACGGAAAGGATTCGGTAGTCTACATTATTACCTACGTGTGCGCATGCATGTATAATATATTTAGTCATTAGAAAGGATTCGTTTTGGACATATTTTGACTCCGTTTAATAAATGCATTATAAATTATAATATAGTATGGCGTGTGCGAAAATAAGGGTTTTACATAATACCTACACGAAACGGTCATTACTCAAAGTAAATATAATATAGTTGTCGATGCGTGTAATATGGTAGTGTTTTCGCCTTATAGGTAGGTACCATATAACTTATCGAAGGTATCAAGTTTCGGACGAGGAACGTATTTCGATTTTCATATTTTCGCTCTTTAGCTATCGATACTAGGCAGGTAAATTTTTCTGCAAAACAGAGTTTTGCAAGTTTAAAATATTTCATTTCCGATTTTATTTTCCATCGAACATATGGCTGCAGACAAACTGCAATCAGGTTTTGCTCGTCTTACACACTGTGATAAGTGATAACAAACCAATGTATCGCACAGTGCGCGAAAGATGACAACTCTCAAGACTCTTCGCTACCAGCTGTCTGGCATTTTTGATCTTATTTATTCGGATAACTGTGTATGACGAAGCGGTTAACAACGAGTCAGACATTGAGAGAGAAATAGAGAAAGAAAAATATTCGAGTATATCTCGTATAAACGCCGTTTGTCCAAGATAATACTGCAGCGCCCTCCTAATGAAATATATACGACTTTGGGGAATATTTTTTGCAATTAAACCGTTGTTGATGAACGGCTATACGGTTTACTTAAGCCACCACGGTCGAAATCCGCGTGTATCCGTCGTACACATAGCAGGCTCTGCCATGGATATTTTATGTCTTGGTGGAACCGTCGTGTATTTAAACTGCATCTGTTTCGGTTTTCGGCTTATAATCTGCTGTTAAATTTATATGGCAGCTATGTAGTTTATAAGTACACTGCTGCACAGTTGAATCGGGTATAGTGGGGTGATTCAAAAAGATAATGGAGATTTTACCAACAGACCGCCACTAGTCGCGGTTTAGACAGTTGTTGCGGTGAATTTATATTTATATATTATTATTATTATTATTATATCGTATATATATCGTACATATATATATATAGGGTATACTGCAACCCACGTATAATATGTAATACTATTATGTCGGAATGGGAATTTTACGTGAAATCGCTGATATATATTTTCACAATTTTAATAGATATTGGCTTACAAATAATACAATACGCCACGTCCATCGTAAAGCACTGTACCACACCATTATTCGCTTATTACAACAGTATATTATCGACGTATCGTATATAAAAATAATAATAATATTATGTAGGTCACTTCGGCGATTGTATCGACAAAATTAAATTATACACAGCAACTGCAGCTTTGGTTAGCTGTGTAGCTGTTTATTTTTTTTTTAAATGTTTAAATTGTTGAACTCTACGCGGGTGGAATCCAATTAGCATTTGTAATGCGTTTAAAATCCGTAATTGAGTTTGCACGAGTAATAGGAAATACAAGGTTCGGGGTCGTGAGGGTCCGACTACACGGCTGCAACAATTTTACTTGTGTAGGTATATGTATATACGCTTACGACTTTTTACTGTTTAGACTGCACTGTCGCTGGTTTAATTGTATTACGAATAATTATAATTTGTTTGAACTCACTTCCGGTGGAAGAAATATACGTGATGATGATTGATGATGATGAGAAAATATTGAAACACCAATTTATAAACATTTTAAATCACATTTGTAATTAGGTATTAAGAATTTTAAATAATATCATTATATTTTATGTAACGTAATCGTAAGTTGTAGCAATATTAAACATTTCTTTTTATTTGAATAATAATTTTGTGTTTAATAACAATATGATTGATTACGTATATAAATACATTTTTCTCGACGAATTACGAGTTTAAGAATAATTGACACTTTGGATATTAAAATATTCAATACACGTAGACTATAGACATATGCCCAGCCATGTACCTGCAAATGATAAACATCTAAAAGTGAATATGAATTAAAATTACAACCAATGTGACATATTCGTTGTTTTTGATTCAATCCATTGAATGAAGCATTTATACAGCAATTAATATTAATTCAAATTAAGTACAAATAAATATTTAATATAAAACCATAAAATTTAATGATCCGAACTTTTATTGCCGTTTTAAAATATCATTATTTTGTATAATACCCAATATGAATCATGATAAATTAATTCGCTCGTTTAACAATATGTTTATTGTGAACGAGTTTATTAAACCGAATGTGCTCGAATGCGAGATTATCGTGTGTTAAATAGAAAAAAAAACTACAACGAGTAACGACAATTAATTACATAGTAATATAATATAAAGTTCTTTTAATTCTCGTTGCCCGACGTAATAGTATACCTATAACTATCATGGTCAACGGAAATTCAAATGGAGATCACCATTATTATTATTCTAATTATTATTATTATTATTATTTGATCCTTCAGAGAGCTGAGTGGACCTAGGTTGGTCAGATGCTACGGTAACCTGTATTCGCAAGCCCGTGTCGATGCTCTCGAAAAACTAGACGTGTTGCCTCAGCTCGCCGACGCCACGGAACTGAAATCGAAAATCCTCTTCTCCGTTGTCGTCGTGAGTATTATATTCCGACAAAAATATTTTGCTAACGTCGTCCCTTGCCAACTTGTAACGGCTGTCTTACGAAATTAATTGAATTTTTACATTTTTCAGTTGGCGTTCAGGTCGACCCAAGCCATGTTGAACCTGAAAAAAGAACAGGTGAAACGGCTGCTGTTCTATCCGACGCCGTCCGGTTCGGCACACGTAGAATTGGAGGCTTCTATCTGTTCCTATTTGAGGAGGACAGTAGACACGTTCGATTTAACCCAGTGCATCGAGGTAAACGTTTTGCGAAATATTTATATTTATCACGTCCTCTGCTGTTTATTTCAGATTAATATAATACGCACGAGCGAACGTCGTTTAACATAATATTATAATCATAGTCACCTAGCTGCTATGTAGGGCTTTGCATTTATAATGATCAACGTTAATATTTAATACATTTAATAATATCAATGAATTCCACTCAGAAATATCAAAATAAGCAATTTTATTCAAATTTTATTCAAGTCAAAATGTAATTTTATTTTGCATATTTTATATAAGTACGTTATAATCCATATAAAATCCATACAAATGCAAATAACTGATTTTTTTTCATGTTTCTATTGCACTTTTGTTATTTTTATGTAACCTTATCTATAAGACTATAAAGCCCTCGATAAATGTACAATAATGATTTTCAAAAATTAGGATTAGCAGTATTGCAGGTCCACGAGATAACTCATGACATTTTTATAGTCTGGAAACATTGTTTATAATACACATTTATTATTGACTTTATTATAATACCTAACAGAAGGATTACATTTTAGTATATTGAAAAATATCTCATTGATTATAGCAATACAATAACTATACACCTATAATACTAATACTATTGCGTTGTATTAACAGGAAGTGAGCACTCAGCTGTGGGCGACATTATACGACTACCCGTGTCTAAAAACGTGTGCTGGACTTCATCAATACATTTGTGACGCAGTACGCTTAGCTTGGGCTCTAGTAAATCAGGTGAGAATATATATAATATGACACGTGTGCTTGTACGTGTGCTGTAATGCGTTGTAGGTAGTTAAATTTACGCATCGAGTTGGATAGGAATTGATCAGTAAAATGTAACGAGTTTTTTTCATTTTTATTTTCACTCTTCTTGTATTACGCAGTTCATTTTATTTTCCTAAACATATTTTATGTTATTGAATGGTTGTATTTATATTATGTTACGACGACCTATTAGTAAAAAATACTGTTAAATTTTTGGTGTCCCCTCACTTTGGAATGTTCTTAGATAATAATTCATATTTATGAGCGTCGGAAAAACAATCCCTACTGTAGACATACAATCCATAAATCTCTGCAGTTTTGTGTAATAAAATCAATAAAAAAATCCAAAATATAGTAATTAAATATTTTATTTTCTTATAAATAAATGCTCAGAAAAACTCGTTTGGAGGCCCAAGTAAAATATTATTACATACTTACATACATATTATATAAACAATCAAAAATAAATCACATACAATGTTGGAATACAAAACAAAATATAAATATAAATGATAAAGAAAACTGTTTAACTTATATGTATTATACGTTTATATCTATATTTTTATTTTTTTAACAGATAAACCAGATAAACCCATACTTTTTTGCACGAATTTTTAGCATATCTATTCTAGGATAGGTAAATTTTTAAAAATATTTTGAAACTTTTTGAGCTATTTATTAACATTTGAAATTTACAACTTTTATTTGACTTCTGTAGTATAATAACATTTTTATGATAATAAAATGTTATTATTATATAATAAAACAGTTTGAAAATGTAGTACAAAGTTCCTCACAAGTTTTTCTTACAGGAATTAAAAAACACCAAAAATATATAATCACAATTTTTTTTTTGTTTATCGCAAACGTCTATGTAAATAGATATAATTAAAAATGTACATAATTAAACGTTGTACAATTAGGAAGTGAAAATTCCAATAATTTTGTAGACATAATATCACCAGTATCTGGTTGTAATAGTTTTTTTTTGTCGTAAATGCTTACAAGGGTTTATCATTAAAATCATCGGTACTTATGATATCCATTGCTGCTATGAGTTACTCGGTAACGAAGTACACTATTGATATTATGTCATTTTTTATATTATATAGCAAAAATATTTCCAAATTTTTCAATTTGAATTTTAAAACATTTTGTATATTATTGTATTTATCAACAACTCTAGTGTATACGGTGCACTGCAGTTCTAATACCAATAAAATATGTAACATAATAAGTAACGTAAATTATTATTACTATACTAAATCATTGAACTATTTATTTTTTTTGCAAAACAGACGCCTAGCTTTGTACTGGAATACGAACAGAGATCATTTAAGAGGGACCTGCACGTGAGATATCATTCTTCAGATTTGGAGAGCAATCAAGTTCGGACTTACCTGTGGCCTGCACTGCTCGAAGGACAAGCTGGACCGTGTGTACACAAAGCAGTAGTACTTACTTAGATCATGCTTTTATACTTTTTAAGAACATGTTGTTAAATTATTTACTATAAGTATGTACATATCATTGAATGTATTTAGTTATTTACAATCCCCGTTTATACATTGCGAAGCTAGTAGTTATAGTAGTTAATGTTTTGTGTAAGCCCACAATATATATTTACTTACATATAATATATATATTTTTTTATACGACATAATTGTATAATTATACGACTGAGTAGGTATCTTCTAAACTAGATTATGATTTAACATTAAATGTGGCATAGTGTACTTCAACATTTTAACATGTATGTTGTATACCTATTTTTTTGTATTATCATTATGACTCGCTTAAGGAACAAATTTAAGTATATATAATTTTATTTATTATCGTACATTTAAATTTTTCTATTCGACGACTATAATATACATATCGCCAATTTATTGCTCAGTTTATTAATGTTTATTAATTAGAAGTAAAATACATTATAACATGTATTAGACATTTATTTATGTGTATCTGTGCGAATGTGCACATTAACATACGCAGGCTACATTACTTTGTAATGTTATTTTAATTAATAAAAATCATTTTTAAAGTGAATACTATATAAACTTTACATTGATAAAAATATATATTTAATAATATTATATATATATAACACCTATAAGTTAAGTAACTGCATACTTGTTATCATCTTGTGTTTGATCAAACGATAACTGTTACTTATTAAGTTTCTATATAGGTACCTGGGGTTTTCAGTTTCAATAGAAAACTGCAAATCATTGGCGAAAACTTCATTTGCGCCTTTAATTTATGCTTCAAAAATGTGCCCGTACCTATATCAGTCATTTAAAAACCAAGTATTTTCCAGTTTTCCACCATACCGCGCGTAGTTGTACTTACACGCACGTAAATGATAAATCAAGAGTGTTCGAATGAATTTCCACAACACATGCACCCACTCGTACAATCATCACTAATGAAAATTAAATGCGTTTAGCAACGATCGTTAAAAGGCAATACCTTTTTTAATGTTCACTTAATCGGTAAATCGATTGTGTTCTCGCGTGTTATACTGCCGCAGCTGTTGTCGCTGTGGACTAGTATATGCGCAGAAGTATGCGGTTATATATGTACAGCCGTGCATAGAATCGAAACGACTAAAACGCCGAGGGATGAAAAAAAAAAATTCTAGTCGTCGACATTATTTAGATGTTTCAGAAGACGTGATATATGTATACGTGTCAGTGTTTAAGTGCAAAATACGTTTTATGGGGTGTTGAAGTTTACATCGCTTGGAGTTATCGCTAGATTATAATTTATACTGACACTGTTATGACACTGCTGTACACATTGTTACGTTTCCATTTTCCATTTTTTTTTTTTCTAAATTCCGTGTACTTTATCGATTTTATTATTTGCAGGTTACACTCCACCCCGACAAAATAGATCGAAATTCTTCTGATAATATTTCGCCATGGGTTTAATGTATAGTCTTGGCAGCACGTTTGCTTCAAAGCGAATTTTGCGAGTACAGCAACTTCGATAATATCGTCTAGAGTATAATATTAAATGTATTATGTGATGAAACTGTGGGACAAGAATGAAAATATAATATGATCATCGGCCGAGGTTAAAATATCAAGCCAAACGCGTGTATATGACTGTTTATAACATATAAAGGTACTCTATATAACTGTTCTAATTTTGTGTGCGTCTTATAGATATTTATTTATTTATTTATAAACGCCCGAAAGCTTAGTATCACAAAAGAGATCGTGGCATACATCAATAGGCGTAATATATAAAAGAAATAAAAAGAAGAATAAAATGTACAAAACAGAACATAACAAACAAGTTTGTATAACAATAGATTAAAGAGATAACAACGATACCTATGCTGAATAATATTCAAAATTAGTATAAAATTACTTAAAGGCAAGGATGGATTTTTGTTGTAGACAAGTCAGGTATCTACAAAAATATCAAACTTAGCATTGTTCCACGATGAAAGGGAAAGTGTTTGCCTAAATCTGTTCGATGCAATTTAAAAAAAATATATATATATATTGTACCTGGACGTTGATAAAACGAGGGGACGCCAATTTTGATTAGAGAGAAAAGTTATTACCATCATCAATATTACCATTTAGTCGATTATCGGTAAACGTCATACCAAAAACTAACTGTCTATATTTTAATGCAGGAATATTAAAAATAAGAACTTAATGACTTATGATTTTGGTTTATAATATCATTAATATCAGACGGGAAAAGTTTCGATCCTTAATGTGGAAACTGATTTTGAACATTCAAATTGTATACACCACTCATATATGATTATAGATAATAATCTAACATAATATTTGTAGGTGTAGCAGTAGTTTAATAAATACCAAACATTTATAAAAATATTTATTTTGCCAAAATATACCTAATCGTTCTGTTTTTTTATTTCGGGATTTCAGTTTATGCATACCATATTATAAACTTATAAGCTATTAAGTTTCTGCATTATAGCTTATAAGTACAATATTGTAAGTACCAATTCTGGACTCTGGACTATATTAATAATGAATGCACATTATGTTAAATCTTAAATATATCCGTATTTCAAAATACCGATATTAAACGAAATAAACATTTAACGCCGTCCAAGACTCCAAGTATTGAAGTATGAATTATTTTAACATTACCATGACGTAAAAGATGACGTAACCACGACATTGTCTACAACAAACTGCATGCAGAAAAACATCAATGTGAAACTGGGAAGTGTCTCTGTTCAAAAATAATATTTATATACGACTATTTGAGTGTGATCTGTGCAGACTATTATCAATATCAATATTACAGGATAAATTGTTGCAATAAATACCCGAAGAGTAAAACATATAATTTCCTCGAAAGCGTGTATTTTTAATTCAAAATTATTTTTTTCTAATCTATCTGGTTTTAATCCGTTTAATTAGTTTAACATATTTTATATGGTTTAAAAAATATGTTCAAAATTATTCAGCCACTATATTTTCGACAATATTGTACAATTGTCCAATTTAAAATATTTTATTCGATTTTCATTATGTGCATAATTAATTTCAATTACAACCGTATAAAATGTCAAATGATTTTATACCCATGGCTAGAATTTTACAATTTATTTATTTTAAATTCAATAGAAATAATGAAACTTCTATTGAATTATTGCTGTATAGATAATGGCTACATTATTAGTACTTATCATATGTTATAGATAATGTATTTAAACAATTTCCCTATTTTACTAAACAACTGCGACACAATATGCTTACATTTACGTCATATTAATTATATAATGCACATGTACTTATTATTGTTACACGTTCAATTTTATAAATATAATTGAGTGTAATCTCTTAAAATAAATCGATCGATTATTCTATTAGTGGAAATGAATTCAATTAACTTAAAACACAGTGGTACAAAAAATTATAGTTTGAATAATTTTTAACATTAGGCTAATGATTATAATTTATAGGACTACTATTTATAGAAGTCAAGTCGTCAAGAAAATGTTACATCACAAAACATGACTACAGCTATAAATGCTTACAAATAACACTCATGCACGTATAGTATACCATATATTATATACCTACAGACCAATTATATTGTATAATATTTAGTTTCTGCTACTCGTGTTAAACTCAGTTGACATGACAAATTGTATTAGTAATTATTAACGCGTATTAACGAATAAAACGACATTATACAATTACATAGTTACGAAACGCTTAGTTATCTATTACATATTTATATATTTGACATTTTACGCTGCAGATTTCATGCGATTGTAGAAGAAATATCAAAGAAAATACTTAAATACACATCAGAATAATGTTAAAACATGGTGTAGGTGATTCAATTATCGTTATAATGAAATTAGTGTGAAAATTCTGCAAATGTAACCATTAACTATTGCCAAAATATCAGTAGTCATGACTTCAAACTATAGGCAGGTACACTCGGCAATAAGTTAAAAAAATAAATAAATTTGTTTGTTTTGTTATACACTGACTAGTGAGTACTACTTAAAAACCAAAAACGTTGGTATTAGGTTCGGGTTATAAATGCAGTGAATATTTACTATAAACAAGGATTTCGAAAAAAATATTCTTTCATTTTATAGTTGTATATTTTCTTATAAATTATTACAACGATTAAAATACTAAGTGCGTTGAAGTAATAATTATTAGTAGACACGGTACCTTTTTCAAAATTATTTGTCGTTGAAAAAAGTAACTTTTCACTCAACTCGGTCACGGGTAGCGTATTTTTCTGATAAACTTTTAACTTAATTTGGTCAGTTTTTTTTCGAAGTCGACTATCAACTATATAACTAATTAAAAAAGTCGATTAACTTGTCCTGCTACACTTGTGTATAGTAAATATACTGCAGTATACACATTTACTATAATATGTCGTTTTTATTTATGCCTTATCAAAGTCAAATAAACATACACGTGCATTAATCAAATTATGTACCGACATTGTATGGTGTGTGTGTGTGTGTGTGTGTGTGTGTGTGTGTGTGTGTGTATATATATTATAATAGGCTACGAGACTTTATTTTTTACAAAATTCTACTCTGCGCATAACAAAAAACTATTACAAAACGGTAATAATTTTACGTTAAGTTATGGCATTTTTTTTCCACGAAAATCCATAAAGGCATGCAGTACTATGTACTATGTAGGTACATTTATTTTAAATTCATTGTCTACGCTTTTGTATTATAATAATATGCATTTTCTTCTATGGCACACATTCGGGGTGGGTTTTGATTATACAACAGTAGGTGTATAATAATACAATTGCTACAATACATAAATGATTATAATTAACTCGACATTGATTCGTATAATATTCAGTAAAATTACATTTTTTAACTGTTTTAAATTTTCAATCAGTTGAACACTGAACAGTAACATGTTACGTATTATGATTCCTATTATAATTATATTTACATAGTATGAAATGTTATGTTCATATATAGACGATTTAATTATGAAAACTTCCCATAGATGTTTTGTTGTATTTGTCTGTGGCACTTTGACAAGTTTCACTTGAATAGTCGGGTCTGTTGTCAAATTTTAATTATTTATCATAATAATTATTTTGTAAGTGATTTTAGAACAGTAGATATCTTTTTAAAATTAGGTAAAACAATTTGTTAACTGACTTTTTTGCTCATTCAAGAGCTTTCCGCATTTTAAAGCAGCAACAATTATGATATTATTAAATTATATTCA